AAACGCTAAGGCAAAACGCTGCCTTTAGCAGCGTTTATAATTTTGGCGGTTTGAGCTAATCAGCTAACTTCAAAAGCTGTTTTACCAAACAGCAAAAAAAGCAAAATTAGCTTTTCTCAATTTGGTCAAAACAGCTAAAACAGCGTTTTGTCAAAAAAGCTAAAATACAAACATGGCCATAATCAATTTTCTATTTCTTTGTCTCACGAGTAATTACACTATTGCCCTCCTTCACCTTAGTCACAAAAGAAAATATTGATTTTTAGGAAAATCAAGCTCAAGAACATAAACACAAATATGATACGTGCAGGAGCTTCCAAGAGCCAACTGCACCAAGTCCCGTCCACTTCATGAAATAGCTACAACACCATCCTGTATTAAAATATCAATAAAAACCGTTGTTACTAGTGAAAATGAACCAATCAAAATGGAGAAAACAAAATCATTAAATTGATAATCAAGTAATTGATCAGAGTTAATCATACATCGTGTATTGTAAAACCATCCGAGAACGTGAGTGGTGGCGAAAGCCATTGTGTTGTAAAAGCAGGACGGTTGTGATATTTGCTTTCACTATCTGCACCACATTATAAATCACGATCATTTGAAAGTTACATACGACTTAAACCGAACGAACACATTCGTGTACAGTTTCTCAATCCAAACCTGAAGGCCGCAAAAGCACTCTGTGGGTAACGAAGGACTGCAGTAACATATAAACTTTTGTGTTACATTTGTGGCAGATTGTATCACTTTTAGGAAAATAATGCTTGGCGAATTTAATTTAAGCTATGCCTGGAAAAATGCATAGTTTTCAATCATGAATGATGTGTAGTTGTGTACACGAAAAATGTTGTACCTGCCACACAGATGGCATGTAGTCTTTATGTGACATTACGCTCCGAGGACCACATGAATCTAACGACTGCTCGTCAGCCCATTTTCCTGAATTTCTGTAGCAAGATACACGTATATTTAAGGCCTTCCTCCCCACAAAAGAAAAATTAAAATAAAGATGATTTTAATAACTCGGAATTATATTATAAAATAAGAAGACAGTTAATTAAGTAATGATATACCAAAAGAGACAAAACAAACTAAAAGCCTAGCGGTTGATTAAGTTAATCAAACCTCATTACTTCAGATGCTGATTGCTTGTCGCCAAATGTAGCTGATTTGGCAGCTAAAACAAGCATGGGATGCACCTGCAGAAGCCTCTGGATTTCCCGAACTATTGCTTCTGTTATTGTCTGAAGAGAGAGGCTTTTCCTGCTCACAAGAAGCGCCACGTTAGAAAGATTCAACTTTTACAAGTCACTAAGCTTCAGGGTCAATCACAAAAATATCCCTAAGTTCAAGCTCAAGCTAGAATTTGAAATAATAAAAATCCAGCGAATCTCCCAAAATTGCATATACTTAGCAACATTTATTTTTATCTCTAAATTTCACCATCAAGAGAATGGGTATTTGACTTGTGGTACTTCACAAAATGGTTTGTACAACTTTGGGGGTATACAAATTAAAGAGTAACTAGAGTTCGTTGGTATTTAGATAAATTGTAGACTAAATTTTCATCATTCCTTAACAAGAAAAGGGGAGATAGTTTGAGAAAAATTAAACATGCAAATAGGAGCATCACTCACAAGATACTGAGAAATTAAAGATATCTCGTGCATATTCCAGATGAAACAAAGGTGGACACAAAGAAGAAACTAATGAAAGGTGGTTGATTAACATTAGAACAATGCAAAAGCAAACTAAAATGAGATTGTGAGCCATCACCTGTTGTTGGTCCCTGCTGATGAAGATGATAAAGCACGATCCATCCAGTAAAAAGCTCCAATGCTGGTTAAAAAAGTTTGTATATAAGGTGTTCGTGATAAAGGCCAGTTAACTATCTCCCGCCCTTCAACAGAAAAAAGAAAAAGCATAAACCAGAACAAGGAGAGTACGAAAAATTAAAACCTTGTGCCTAAAAGTCTACTAATACAAGCATCGTGAGTACCATGATCCTATGATATTAAAGCCAAACTATGCATTAACTATATTTAAATTTGAACCTACGGCTAAACATATCATACAAACCTGTCAATTATTAGCATATAAGCAGTAGTGCCTTGCTTCTCCTTATCTCGCAAAATCTGATAATGAAGTGCCTGCAATAACAGGTGAAGTTTCACCAAAATAAATACATTACTTTAAATTACAGCAACCACTAGAAGGTTCTGTCCCCTTCCACTGGATTCCAATTGGAAGTAAAATGAGATTTCAAAGTATAAATTCAACAACTGATCTCATTTCTGACAAATGATGAATAGCACTGATCTTTGGCATAGAACTTTAGGCTCAAATACAAATGCTTCAAAGATATATCTCGGACTACTAGCAGTGACTTATTACCAGCTGAGCAAATAAACTTAATGTAACCATCTCCGATAGATTAGCATACCCAGCACATCCAATTTACAATAAAATAAAACACACACATACACCCCAAAAAATAGAAAAAGTTGCAGTGAAGAGTTCAGAGTAAATACAGTAAGGAGAAGCAGTCATCTCACCTTAAGAGTGGCAAGAAACTCGAAACTATTGTAACATCGGGTATACATGAATCGCCTCATACACGATACAAACAACTCCTTATGATATTCCTTTTCATTTCTCTTCATGCTTCTTAATCCTAAAGAAACACGCGAGAACAATCCATCTAATTAATTCAAACAGAAAGAAGAACACAACGAAAGCTCAATCTATGATCAGTAAAACGTTTCCTCTAGTTTACACCAACAAATTTTACCATTAGCCCCATTAATTCGGCTTTCTAGAGCACGTGAAAAGCTCACGGCATCAAAACGACAGTCCAAATCGATATAGAACACATTGCGCTCAAGACCTCCGTATTGCACAGCATTACATTCTTTAGGCAAAATACAGCTAATCGCAGCCTGAGAAAAAAGCAAAAGAATAAACGCTGCAAAAATTATGAGATGTTGGAGGGCCAGATAGCAATTGCGGATGGAAATTCTTCAATTGCTCGTTTCACCTGAGTGAGGATTAGGGTTTTGGCGGAAGGAGAGGGGCCAGCAATCTCGACGACGTTTCCGGCTCGGAGGGGAAGACGGTGGAGCGGCGGCGGCAAAACGACGGACGGCCGCTCCGTGAGGATCCTTAGGAGTGCCTCTTTTGCTGTTTCGTCTGTTTTGAGCCATGAAAATGCTGGCGCCATTTTCTTGGACGCTGGACCTTTGTTTAGGCGGGAGGAAGGATAAGCTTTAATCATCTAATACTCGAGTTTAAATTCATTAATTAATAATTAATAAGTTAAATTTAAACATTTACAAAAAAATAATAATAATAATAATAATTAAAAATCTGTATTACAAAGTATTAGGAATCTCAATGAGGTGAGCTCGTCTTGACTCTTCAACTAAACAAATGGAGATAAAGGAGTATAATCGAATTAACTAAGGCGGGAGGAAGGATAAGCTTTAATCATCTAATACTCGAGTTTAAATTCATTAATTAATAATTAATAAGTTAAAATTTGAACATTTACAAAAAAAAAAATAAATAAAATAAATTAATTAAAAATCTTTATTATAAAGTATTAGGAATCTCAGTGAGTTGAGCTCGTCTTGACTCTTCAACTAAACAAATGGAGATAAATGAGTATAATCGAATTAACTAGCTGCTCATTTATTTAACAACGCTTGAAAAGTAAACGAGTCGAATCAAGCTAATTATAAAAGAGATTTTCTTTACGATCTGGGAACAAATTTTTCACATCAAGTTAAACTACTAAATTCACTTCTTTTTTTCCGATATAAATAAATCCACATTAAATTAGTCAAAAATGTTAAAAGTAGAGAAGCAAATTATTTGGTTGTAATGCTAAACTAGTACAACGCGGTGTACTACTACACGGGTGTTTCATAAAAAAACAAATTGTCGAACAAAAGATAAAAAAGAGATAAAGTTCTTATTGTGAAATACCACAACTCTAATATTTAATAAAAATTTAATTTTTTAAACATTATTATGAATTCTACAAAACATTTTATGAAGTGTTGTTATATTAAAATATATCGCCAGTTTATATAACACCCGTGAACAATATAGATGCTTGAAATTAAAAAAAAAAAAAAAAATCATCAAAAGAAAGAAGTGAATAAATTTATATTATTATAATAGAATGATAAAAAAATAAAAATACAACTAATAATTAAAAAAAATAATAAAGATAATTATTTAAAATAATATCCAAGTTTTATACTCACTTTCTCAAAATGATAGCTTTTTTTAACGGCACACACATATTTGTGTGTGTTATTTACAACTCATATTTGTTTCAAGTTTGATTATATATTGTAATTATATTTTCTATTTATCAGTTTTTCTCCCTTATCTAATATTTTTAAAATATCTTCAACTTTATAATGTTCAAATAATTTAAAATATAATGTGTATGAGAACGGACATTATGAAATATAATAATATTTTTATTATTCTAATAATAATGTAATAAAATAATTTTTAATATTAATTTGATGTCCATTGTTAGCTTACATATTTTTTTCCAAATAAAATAACTATTTTATGGTATTAATATACATAAATTTCTATTACTTTATAATATAATTTATAGTTTTATTTGATATTTTTAATTAGTTTGATAGATGAAATTAATTTTTCTTTATAGATACATATCAATGTTTTGTGTTATATATATATGGATGTCAAATTGAATATAATTAAAAGATAATTAATCTGATATATCATATTTGACAAAAAAATTACAAACAAACAAGTTATATAATTTTAAAAAGAAGAAGAAACCATTTATAATAATTGATGTATCAATTAATTAAATAAGAAAAGGAAATGTAATATATGGTAATGTAGAAAAAAAAAACATTTAATAGTTTATGGTAAGTAATTATAGAAGAAAATAATGAATAGATCAATCATAGATTTAATATCAATAATAAATATTAAATGAAATATAAGACTACTTATTTTTGTATAAAAATATTAATTTATATCCAAGTCTAACTCTTGTTGATACCTGAGTTAGCCAGGGCGAGACCGGACTGGAATGAACCCCTAGAACCGGGTCGAGTACCCGGTCCAGAATAAAAGTGTCGGGCTGAGTTACGAAATTAAGTGATCAGGGCAACCATAAGAATGGTTCGCGAAGGTCGGCACTTGACATCAGAAGGCTGAGGTGCCGACCTCGTAAGGTTCCAGGTTGGAAAAGGGGACCCGAGGACTACTTCAGAAACATATTTAGTAGAAGTGTCGACCAGAGGACCCTGAGCGGCCACTTTGACGGCAAGCACGGGGCTCAGTAGCATTAAAATATTCCCCTTGGAAGATCATCATTGGACGATGGGACGAGATGTCATAACCTGCTACCCTACAACAAAGCCTAGCCAAAAAGTCTGCCAGCATTAAATGCCTCTCATGCTTGCATTAAATGTCTGACAGGCAATGATTGAAGAAACCTCAAATCGCATTAAATAACTATCAGGAAGGCGTCGAACTGCCCTGCAGAACTACTGTGCGACAAGACCGATGAACAGTACCTAAACAGTACCTCATTTAATGATACTATAAATAGCAACCCACTTCATTTATTTTGGGTTGTTGAATCCTCAACGACTCTGCCTTCTCTCTATTTTCTCTCTCTAGAAATTTGTAATTAATCCCTGTAATAAACCAAACTTCATTGCAAGTGTAGACCTCGTACGAGAGTGCCGACCTCGCAATTTTGTAATAAAACATAATTAACCCGTATTTTCTCTCTACTTTCAGTCTTGTACATTTATTAAACTTCATTTTAACCGTTGACCGGATCCATCTATCAACAACTCTAAAACATAATTTTTTGTCACATAGGATTCCGAAGCGTGATAACATGCCACTTAAGTTCAACGCATTCAGTAATTATATATAAGGGTGATATTCGCTATCCAATGATATTTACAAATTGATACAAATTTATTTATTTAAACCTCTAAAAGGGACATCATAAAGGAAATTGTAACATAAATGCATGTTTCACGCTAACACATTAAAAAAAAAATAAAAAAATAAAAAAAAAAATAACATGCATGGTTTATGGGCCACGGCGCCACGCTGTCTGTCAGCAGAAAGAACTGGACCCAACCCAATTGGATC